TTTTTTTTTTGGGGAGATACAGAGAGTTGTGTTAGTTTCCTAAATATATGTTTTCAATGTTAAAAAAAGCTTGGACAACATGTTCTTTCTAATTGTATGTACTTGAACATGAATCCTGAAGTTTTTAGTTTTATATGCTTCTTTACCATTCCCATTGATCTCTATTCTTTTTCATGCTTGAACTGATTTAGTAGCTTGAACCTGTTTTTTGTTTGCAGCAATGTGATAAATTTTGCGTCAAAGCGTATGTTTTATTTGAATTTATGCTAATGTTAGTCATTTAGTAAACAATCAACCACCTAGGACTGAAACAAGATTAATGTGTCAATCATGAAAAACAAGATAAGTTTCTTTAATTGAACCATGAAATGAAAATTGTCTCAGATAATTAATTGTAACCGATACATTGAGAAAACAGAACGCCTGGAGAGCGACCCACTTTTCTTTTCTTTCAAGAATTTGAGTGAAAAACCTTTGAAGCTATAACTATGCAAAGAATAATGCATCACCAAACTGAGCTGTAGTTGAGTTCATATACATCAGCAACCTCTTCAACTTCAACCACAATACATACCCTTTATTACAAGCAAATATATCATCTACCGAGGTCCCATGTTTCACAATCAGCATGGAAATATGGTTTTTATTGGAAGAGTCCAAGGAAAACTGATCCGATAATTGAAGTCAATCTCACAATTAGACCAACCGCTTTACAGGACAAAGCAAGAAAATAAGTTTAAAGCTGTAGCTTTTCTTTCAAAGCTCAACCTTTTGCCCGACTCTTACGAGAACATAGAAAACACAAGAATTTTAGTTGAAAAGGTACATAAAGTATACCCTCAAGTGCTGCTCTTAGCAGATATCGAAAAATTCAACTGAGTAGCCAATTTGTTTTTGCGTCCTAAACGAATCGAAAACACATGTAAAGCCTCAAAATATTATATTAAGGCAAATAATTCAGAATATCCTCGTTGATGTTTGTTGTATTTGGTCATTTGGTTTTCGATTTAGAAAGAAGCAACTCAAAAAGATGCAAAGGCACCATCGCAATGCCGCCTCCACCTCCACCTCCAACATGATCAACAAAGATATGTGCTTTAAAAAAATTATCAAAACAATAATGTTCACATTCAAAGCAAAACTTTCACATATTTCCACTTCTAATCTACAGTAAGCACAGCAGATACAAACAAAAATGAAGCAAAAGAAACCTCAATTGACCACTACAAGATGTCAATCCAACTAACACAAAATGTACAATCGAAGGTTGCAGGCCATTGACCAACTTAGACGGTATAATCCAAAGGGCAGAATCGAGATATCCCGTCAAGTCTGTGCATCTCTAGTCCATTTTTCAAGATATATCGGCTAGGTACTATCTTTATATTTCTATAATCTAGCACTTTCAGCGCATGGCAACAATTACATATGCATTGTCGATTATATCAGGCGCCTTTCCATTATATATTTCATCTTTATGATTTATGTCAACGCCACCAGACACATGACACGGACTGTATTGGCACCGGCAAATAACCTCATTAGATCAAAAAAATGGCAGAATTTTTCCACGAGTGTACCGTCGGTGTAACGATTCCAATTGTTGACCTTGACTAGAAACGGGAATCTGTGTTCCCGAATGGAAACCATCTTGACTCGTCCCAAAACTCCATCTTTCACCAAATCAATCAATTTAGCGGTAGACGGCATGTATCTGTATTCTAACCCGACTTGTACTAGAACATCCGGTCTCTTCGCAGCAGCATCTATGACCTTTTTGCAGTCTGTAGCAGTTGTGTAGAGCGGCTTCTCCACCAAGACATGGTGGGGTGTTGGGTGACTGATAATATCCATCAATATGTCAAAGTGAGTCATATTTGGAGTTGAAATAATAAACACATCACATATCCCATTATCCAGCAGCGCCTTGTGACTGGAGAAGACCTGAATTGGTCAATCGAACAAGTTTGCAAGATTCAAGGCCTGGTGTTGGGAAGGCACGTGGGGATCGGCTATAGCGACCACGACAACACCTTCATTCTTGAGGTGGTAAAGATTAATGAGATGCTCTCTTCCCATCATCCCAACTCCAACTATCCCATATTTTGTCATTCTAACTGTTAATTAACAAACACAGTAAATGTTGAAATTCGGAAATAAGAGAAAATGAGATTAATGCCCGGGGCTCGCGGAGGTCGTGGCTGAGA